TATTCAAGTTTATATATATATATATATATGTATATATATATATTTTTTTTAAAGCTTATTTATTAATTTATTTTAAAAGCCTATTTAGTTGTTTATTTTAAATAGCCTTTCATTTATTCATTAGGTTATTAGATTATTAGGTTTTTTTTAATTAAAAAAAATTCAAGCAACATTAATTTTTACTGACATGATATAATGTTAACAAATAACCAAGTAGTTTCAGGTAGGAAGTGCTAGCATTTACAACACATTTGTTTTACCCATGCGATTGATTGATTGAAAATGATCATTCATTCCTTCATTTATTCAAGTTTATATATATATATATATATGTATATATATATATTTTTTTTAAAGCTTATTTATTAATTTATTTTAAAAGCCTATTTAGTTGTTTATTTTAAATAGCCTTTCATTTATTTATTCATTAATTAGATTATTAGGTTATTAAAAGCATATTTAGTTATTTGTTTATTTTAAAATGGTTATTTTATTTATTTATTTATTAGGTTATTTATTTAAAACGATTTATTTATTTATTTATTTTAAAAGCATATACATACATATTAAGTTATTTGTTTATTTTAAATGTTCTTTATTTATTAGGTTACCTATTTATTTATTTATTTATAAATACTATTTATTTATTTTAAAAGCCTATTTAGTTATTTGTTTATTTTAAATATGTATTTATTATTTGTTTTTAAATACTATTTATTTATTTATTTTTAATTTAAAGCTTTATTTATTTATTTTTAAAAGTTTATTTATTTGGTTATTTTAAAGCTTATTTATTTATTTATTTTAAAAGTTAATTTATTCATAAAAAAAACAAAAAAAAAAACTACATTTAAACATCAGTTTTACTTTGAAACAGATACCACTATGGAAGTAAAATGGACTGTGAATTAATTTTGTGTCGACTTGTTGTTTAGCATGAAGAACCTTCCATGACGGCCACACTTTCATTCTGAGCCGTAAAAACAACAACAAGCTATATTTAGATCAGAATTTGAGCACTAAATTGCGTTCCCTTTCACACACATTCACAAGCTAGCCACATTAAGCAGGACAGGTTTAGACCTGTGCTCCCTGCGACTGCAGCACCAGCCAATTATAAGTCAGGGAGGCACGGATGCTCGAGTTTGTCGCCTAGCAACCAGGCAGGAGCGTAATGTAGGAGGCAGCAGTGGAGCCGGCTCTATCTGGCATCGTCTGTCCCTCTGTGCCACCAGCCAATTACGGCTCATACTGGCAGGGGAGGATGCAGTTGCCTGGCAACCGGAATGTTACATGATACACGTATGTACAAGTGGATATATGTGCATACGCGCGATGGGAATGAAAGTGCATGGACGAGGCTAGCGGTGTAAGCTGAAACTAGCACCGAGACCCGAGAATCGTTCCCAATTATAGAGTCCCGTTCAGAGACACACCAGTTGCCTGGCAACTCCCCACCCCCATCACACAACCTTTCCTCTCTCACACACACTTTTTCTCTCTCTCTGCACCCTTACAGGTGCCAGAGTCTTGCTTAATTACATTTTCTCAGTTAAACTGCAGACAGAAAGACTCATTATGATCTGTGCGGCTCACGGCGGCACCAAGCAGAAAGCCATTTTCTGCCTTTCACCGCTCTTCCAAGTTTTTTACGAATCAGACTTTGTTATAATGGAAAGCAGAGCAACAGACAAAGTGGAAACGAGTGCCGCCACGTTCCTCTCTTCACCCCTCTGCATCTCCCTGAAAACCCACTCTTATCTCGTTCCCGAACGCCATTCATAAAACGCTCCAGAGGGCAATGTCATTTCCATTCACGCTGCCTTAGTTTCTGTACAAATTTCAATCACAGAATTTGTCCAAGTAATAACGCCTCCGAAATAGGATTTCGCTAATTGCAAACGAGTTGACGAATCGCTTTGGCATCAGATTTGAACGCAGCTCATTTGCTGCTTTGTTTTTTGGACGAATGCAATACGGAAATACAGAAATAGCTCAAGGACTACATCTAATGAATTATGCAGTTTTACTTAGCAAAAAGAAATTAAAATTTGCATTATTGTGTCAAGCAAGCACAACAGCACAGTTTAAACTGATTTTTTCCTGCAAAAAGTATATAATATAATATAATATAATAATATGTTTTTGAGTAAAATCATCTAAACATTCTATAATATATTGTTTGGTATCTGAGTTTAATGCAACTCATTGCTTCTTTCCTTTTTTTGGATAAATGCAATATAGAAATTGAGAAATTGATCAAAGACTACAGGGCTAATGAATAATTAAATTTTAATTAGATTTTTTGGCGAAAAATATATTATATTATATTATAATGGATTTTGATATTTCATAAATATGTACAGATATGTAGCTCTCAAATATTATTTGTGTTCCAACTTCCAATATATTTAACATATGTTGTCTCATTCACATCAAACATGGTGTGACACGTCAAGCTTGACTATGCACAAATTAGATTTAAGAACTATGGTGGACAGAAAGATTTTCAGAGAATTCTTACTTAAAGCTACTATAAGACTTCCGGAAGCTTGGAAAGTGCACAAGTCATATCAAATACTTTTATGGTGCTTTCTTGTCCTTTTTGGACCTTGAGAAGGTGTCCTGGTATTCTTGTGCATTCTGGACTGTCAATCCTTGTGTCATAATATATACGTCCTAAACACTTTCTAATACATCAGAAGGGAGCCATTAACATGTGGCATGTTCTGGTTTCAAGAAATGGGGATCTGCTCTGGTGTGTTAACAGGCGTGCAGTAGACATAGGGAAATATACAGGCGAGTACGTCTCATTCCAGCCGGTCCATCCATCATGAGGCAGTTATTCACTCCGTGGACAGCTTTGGGACAGCAGTCTGAGTGCTTTTGGATTGAGATCGAAGAGACAGAGAATTATGGCCATTTCCTGCACCATTCGAATCTGCTGAGGAAGTACTGTCGCAACCTTGAGAAAATGTTTGCCGCCGAGGGGCCGGACAGGCACGCTGCCATGGCAACGACGAAGTACCATTAATTACATCAGCTTGTCGTTTATTGTGTAAAATAAGATTGATTTAGTGAAATAAAAAATTTATGATAAATGTGGTGGAATTGACTGATTATTTCTACATATATCAAGTTATTACTGTAAGAGCAGGTTAAGTGTTTATAGCTGCAACTAAACTAAACAATTTATTAGATTAACATACACACATATACATACACACACACACACACACACACACACATATATATATATATATATATATATATATATATAATATGTATGTATGTATGTATAATATTGTTTGAATTAATGATTCAATGACTCACTCAAATAATGTCACTTGTTTCATTCCTGTATGATTTCGTTTTTCAGAACAAATCGGTTGAATGAATGATTCAATGCCTCACTCAAATGCAGTAATTTATCGTTCCTGAATAAATCAGTGTTTTAGAACGAATCAGTTCTACAAATGATTCAATGCCTCACTCATAAAGAAAGTCACTTGTTTCATTCCTGAATGAATCAGTACTTCTGAACAAATCAATTCAATAAATGACTCAGTGACTTACTCATAAATACAGTTAATCGTTTCAATCAGTTTTTCAGAACAAATCGGTTGAATGAATGATTCACTCAAATGTAGTAATTTGTATTGTTCCTGAATAAATCAGTGTTTCAGAACAAATCAGTTCTACAAATGATTCAATGACTCACTCATAAATACAGTTAACTGTTTCATTCCTCAACAAATCGGTGTTTTTGAATTAGTCAGTTAAGTGAATGATTTGCTGACTCATTAATTCAAAGCCGGTCTACTTGCCACCTACAGGGGAACTTTGCAATATGCAGGACAAGTCACTGAAAAATGGGAAAACATCAGCACAATAATCACTGCAAATAATTAATGAATTACAAAAATATATTCGCCTACCTGTATGTGTCCTCTGATGTGCCTTCAAATGTGAACTCTTGGTGTAGACCTTCCGACACCCGTTAAACTGGCAGCGATGGACCCTCTTCTTGTTCTCTGCCATTTCACCAGCTCCCATGGTGCAGGTGGCGCCCTGTTCCCCGTCGCTCTGTGCTCCGCTGCTGCCATGCTGGGGAGAAAGTGGGACCGGGTGGGCCACCACGAGCTTGGCAGAACTCAAGCCCACCTTTCGGGCCACTAGCTTGAGCGTGAGGGTCCCGTCGGGCGAGGCACTGAGTGTGTGGGTGGGTTTGACTAAGTGACGGCCCAGTTCTGGGGACGAGGGAGGTGTTAGGGAGGTGACGGCGTTCAGCTGGGCTGCGTTGACCCCTAAGGTGATGTCTGGAGAGGTCACAGTAGAGGAAGTGGAGGAGAGAGTTTCTTTGCGTGGGGTGAGGCGAGGAGGAGGAGGAGGAGGAGGACTGGGGGGGTTGTTGAGGCTGGGAAGGAGGGGGTCTAACAGGTCTTCATCCACATCTTCCTTCATGAAGGAGGGGGTAAGGAGGCCATCTAGTTCCTCGTCAAAAAGGTCAGACAGCCGTTTGGGTTCCGTCTGCAGATAGCGTTCCAACTCCAAACATGTCTGTGGAAAAAGATTTAGGTGTTTTTATTGACCTGAACACTGCATATGATTTGCCATTCTTGTACACGCAACACCTACACATCATAAATGGCACAATTTATTAATATAACCTTTATGTAAAGCCATTCTTACATAGATTATTTTTGTCGTTCCATTGACACAAAATGGTACAATTTAATGTCAAGACTTCATAAAAATATAAGACTTCAATAATTTAATAATTTATTCTTAAAAAACTTCATGTAAAGCATTTGTAAAACCAATCTTGTGACAATCCATACTTACATAATTTTTTTTCCTAAATTGTACATGGTTTTTCAATTAAATTTTATAATGTGTCAGTGACCTAAAACCATTCAGATTTTATTATTATTAGTATTACTATTATTATTATTTGTAAAATGATGCTTGATTTGCAGTTTTCTTCATATAAAACGTTAAGCATTCGTAAACCATTCTTATGACAATTATTTGTAAAAACCATACTTATGCATGTTTTTTTGTAAACTGACACATAAATTGCTTACTTTATTCACAGAACCTTTATGTTAAGCTTTCGTAAAAACATTCTTAAATTAATCATCCCTTAAACAGTTTTATTTGTAAATTGTCACCAAGAATGCAATACATTTTTCGTAAAGCATTCTTACATTGTTCATAAACGGTCATAAAACAAAGCCATTTTTACAGAAACCATTCATAAATCATTTGCATAAAATAATTTATGTTAGAATTACATCCGTATTTGCACACATTTATTGCGCTGGTTTCATGATTTAGTCATCAGTCAAAAATCTACTTTACATCCTTTAGGTGCTAGTAATATGGCCTCAGTCCTGTCACTGAGATACATCTAAAATGTAGTTGTTACTTGACACCAGATCCATTTCTTCTTTTAATATCACTTTAAATATCACATTTACACTTTGTTTGTACCTATTAAACAACTCAAGCAATTAAATGAAAGATAAAATCATCCAGGCTAATCTAACTCATTAGCGCTGCGTGTAAAGTAATGTGATTTTTCTTCAGACTAACCCCTTTCTGGACTTTTAACTGGGTACTGAGACTGCTACTGCATATCATTTGCTTCAGCAGGTCTTCAGGAATAGATGGTTACACTGTGATTGATTACACAGGCTAGACTGGAGCTCTCTGGAGCTGAAGAAACAGACCTGGCCTGAATTGCTTGTTAGAGCGGTTTATGTGGAGCAAACAGAAGGGGAGAGAGAGAGAGTGTGTGTGAAAGAGAAAGAAGCCATCAGACTTGGATTCTTCCATTTTGGATGGGTTTTTATATTTCAGTCTAAAGAATTGTGCACAGAACAGCAGCGTCAACACAATACGATTTAATGGCAACTTATGAGCCGCTACTACTCCTTTAAGATACTTCAAGGGGCCATATAAAGGACAATTAAATGTTCTTTATTTTGAAATTAAACAACACAAAACCTCTTCCAGTGTACACTATTTTAAAACTGTAAACTGCTTAAAAAAACTGTAAAATGCTCTTTTGCAACTGCTACACGTCATATATGACCTTATTAAAATATTGGGTAGAGCCCACGTCAGACTGTGCACCATTAACAGTCTTTTATGACTGTATGCTATATATATTTACTAGTGCTGTCAAACGATTAATCGTGATTAATCACATCCAAAATAAAAGTTTTCGTTTACATAATATATGTGTGTACTGTGTATATTTATTATGTATATATAAATACTAACGCATGCATGTATATATTTAAGAAAAAATATGTTGTTTATATATTAATAAAGGATATTGAAAAAAAACCCACTGGAAGCAGAAAGATGGTAATGCAAAATTAAATTACAAAAACAAACTAATAATTCCCCCAAACATAATTATAACTAAATAAATAACATTTTTGTGAATATCACTAATAATAAAGGATGCTACAATATTGATGCTAAAAAAGCTATGCAATACTAAGTTACAAAACAAACAACAACAAATAACACACACACACACATATATATATATATATATAATACAACAATAATAATAATAACAAATACATTTGTAAATAAATACAAATTTTTTTATTAAATTGTATTATTTATATTACATAAAAGAAAAAGAAAAAAAATTGTTAGTTTCAAAGAATGTTTTTTTTGTATATTGGATAATAAAATGCTTCTCCTTTAAAGTACATTTTTTGCATAGTTGTCTAAGAAGGAGCAGTAAAGTCAAGTTTTTATTTTCTGAAACGTTTCTCATAACATGACCCAAACCTTTTACAAAATCATAAAGAACAGTAACCTATCATCTCAGACAAACTGGCCTCTAGCTATAAATGTCTCGCTTGAATCTCTGGCTCTAAACACGACGGCGGTTCGGAGCAGCTTCTGTTGCTAGGTGATGTTGTTTGCTTGTCATTTTATGAAAGGAGCGTCTGTCGTTTTTTCTCAGCGTTAAAAGCATTTTAATGTCTGCGCTGAACTGAAGGTTTCAGAAGTCAGGTAAACAGAGCATAGCTGAACTGACATTACCTGAGACGTCACCCGGAATATCTAAACACGACAGAAGACACTATAGTTAGAAGACACAGATCTTCGCATAACCGTCTCCGAGCAATCTGCTAAAGGAACCATCTCTCTCAACTCGTTCAAAATAAATATTTGCATTTCTAAAAATCTGTTGTTTTCCCTTTTACAAAAACACACATGGTTTCTCGCTGCGCCCTGAACTGATGGGTAATTAGTCACTTAAATGAAGCAGTAAAGAGATACTCTCCATTCAGTGAAAGCGCTGATGGGCTCGTGCATCTCTGTGCATGTTTCCCAGCTCAAACAATGACATTTAAAAGCCTCCACTCAGCACGCCGGCAGCGGTGCGGACTGTATGGGCCCTTTGGATGCACGCCGACACAGGAGGGATTGATTTTCTAATGTGCTATAGGGCTGCGGTGGTCTGGCGTGTCATGCCTGCATGCTGTCGAACCGTCACACGTATGACAGGAACACGGGCAGACTGAGTTCATGGGAGTTCACGTGAGCACGTCATATCGAGAGAGGGCAGACGTGTGCATATGTGTGTCGGGAAAAAGAGGCAGATACATTTTGAAGGTGAGGCGTTTGGGAGTCAGGTTTTTCTTATCGCTCTTTTGCTTTTCTCCGTCTCTTCGCCCCTCCTCCCGCAGGCCCTGAGGAAGTGACATTCAGGGGATATTGTTACTTAAAATGGCAGCAAATTCAATGCGTCCAGTGCCGTCTGGGTCGCTTTGGGCCATGTGATTTAGCGGTGCGGCAGACTGGATGCCAATCGAGTCGAAAGCGACGCTATAAAAGCTACCCGGCGGATTCGCAAATCTCTGACAATTTGGATGTTTAATCAAAACTGATCGCAACTCGGTTTGATAACAGATGGCTTGAATTTTTTAGTTGTAGTCCCTGTGTGGGTCAAACATGATCTGCGAGAGACTGTGACATAAAACAAACCTTAAGTCCCAAGTCAAGGTCATTCGGTGTCTTCCAGGCGTTTCATTGCAATCAGAAAGCCAAGCCAAGCTATTAGGTATTCATGAAACTGAGATGTATGAATTAGTATGAACAGATAGAGTGCCACACATAGTTTTCATCTGCAAAAACCAATTAGATGAAACGCCATTAGCATTACATAAGCTTTCTAAAAAACAGCTTGTCTAGATTGAATGAGAAACATTCAAGCAAAGAGCAGATATTCACAACCCAAGAAACAAGCTGTAAATAGGCAACAGTTAAAACCGTTTTACTTGGTGAATATTGTTTTTTTTAAAATTATTATTTATTTATTTGTTATTTATATTTTATAGAATGTATGAATAATAATAATAGCAGAATAAAATGATTATATTATAAACATAATATAATTGGTAAAAATCACAGCTAGAAATGGGCATGCATACTAGAGCAATGATCGATCAAGAACGCGTACTGAAAGGTCATAAACTTTTAATTTTTTATTTGGTGGTCCAATTGGTTAGAATTGGCCCACATGTTCTTTAGTTAAAAAAACAGCAGACAGAACTCTGGCATCTGAGATATATTTTTAACTATTTCCACTTGACATGCTGTCTTAAAACAATATTCGAGGCACGAGATGCTTATAAATATGGCAAGATGTGATGCAACAGTAAAACATGTTGTTCTGATGCATATGTACATTGACAGGCAATTTAAAAATAGCACAGAAAGAACTCGTTCTACACTCAGCTGATTGATTTGGAGTATTTAAGCAGTCAAAATGAACATCCCCAGTGACAACCACTACACTAATGACAAAAACATCACCGCAGAAACACAACAAACAAATGAAAAACATCATCTAACATTAACCAGGTGTGATGTTTCTTCTTTTTGTCCGATCTTGCTCCAAATATCTTTTAACTGGCTGTTTAATTGGCTCTTTTAATGCAGCAGTTTCAACATTTGCTTGTCGGCGAAAACCTGCTGTGCCAATATGCTAAAAAATAAAGGTTCTTTATTGGCATCTGTGGTTCCATAAAGAACCTTTAACAAGCATGGAAAATTTCCACTGCACTAAAGGTTCTTTCTATTGAAAAAGGCTCTTTAGATTATTAAAATGTTCTAGGCGCTAAGAAAAAAAGATTTTTTAAGAACCGATCACTGAAAGGTGCTTTTGGAAACCTACAATGTTCTTTAGATTATTAAAGGGGTATGTCTAATGCTATTTCATGCATTCTGACTAATTTACAATGCTCCAGTGTTGGATTCTCATGCTAAACATGACCAAAGTCTCAAAAAATGAGTTGGACGTATGACGGAGTATTTCTGTGCCAAAGACACTCCTTCAGGGTTTCTGAAAGTTATTTATTTATTTATTTTTTCTCGAGTATTGTCCTTCATGACATAAAGGGCAGAATTACTTGTATGGGCATTTCTCTAGCCTTCATCTTTCCCTCGGGTCATTTCGACCCAGATTTTTTTTTTTTTTTTACAATTATTAAAAAATTAAGTGTTCATCTGAGTGGTAC